CATCACAGAAGGAGGAAGTCAGGAAGCTGCTCTTCCCTCCTCACCCTCATTGGGGCACTGGGTGATGCTCTATCAGATCAGGGGGGCTTTTTAGAGGGAATAGTGGTGCTTATGGGAGTGTCTGGCAGTGCTGGGTCACCTTAGCAAGATGACAAGGCCTGACCAGGTGTGGAGAGAGGTCCCAACAGCCTTGCCCTACCCAGGCTGCCCTCACTGGCATGGAGCAGGAGCTGGGGAACAACTTTGAGCAGCAAAACTCTGGTGAAGGAAATGTGGGCTTGTGGGCTTGTGCACTTGACGTGACTCTTGCTGTGGTGGCAGCACTGCCTTGGAGGAGGAGAGGGAGATGTCTGTGCCGAAGCAGTTGGATTCGTTTGCAGCAGTTCATTGCTGCCTTCAGAGTTCAGTCAGTTTGAATCATAGGGAGTTCCAAGGTAGAGGACAGTGACAAAGTAACCTGCTGGGCTCGGAGCTTTGCTGCAGCTCCTGCCAAGGCTGTGGTGCTCTTTTGTTGCATTGGAAGGATCCAATGACCTGGTCACTAATTCTCAGGTCAGCCCTAATTGCACCCAAGGTGGATGAGAGGTGACTCTTGTGTTGATTCACTGTTGTGGAGTGCTGTAGAAGCAGAGTCAGGGGTGTAATTATTTCTGCTCAGAGCTCTGTCCCTTCTCTGCAGTCCCAGGGAGGCTCACAGGAACTTCCTAGGTTCCTGAGCCCATTCCCATTTGTAGAAATGACTCCTTGGTTCTGAAGGGGATGAAGGCTTTGCTCCCATACAAATGCTTCGCTGGTTAACATCTTTGCTATCAGGACAGCCTGGCTTCCTCTGCTCAGAGCAATGAGCTGTGGTCAGTGGCTGTGGCTTCCATCCCACAGTAGGACCAACTTTAGTGTTGGATTTCCACGGTGGGCAAGAGAGTCCTAGTTGACCTTTGGTGATGGAGGAGTTCTGGTGAGCGGTAGCAGTGTGGTCAGGGACTCAAGTGCCCAAGCAGGCAAGGAGAGTTGTGGAGGAGGAGCCACTGCAGGACCTGTGGGATGTGTGGGCAGGAGGGGAGCAGGCTTGTCCTATCTTCCCCAGTGCTGGGCTGGGGCCTGTCAGCCAGGGCTCTGGTGAATCTAGCAGGAAAGCTACCACTGTAAGGGATCATCACCTACTGCACATCTCCAGATGCTGACTAGCTGATGGTAGCTTGCTTTATTGCTGTTCTCGACTTAAACTTTTCCTATTTAACAAAAAAACCCCCCAAGAACCAGATTCACTTCAATACACAAAGTATCCTGGTGGTACTGTGGGAGTACGTGTTAATTCAGGGTTAAACCCCTGCAGGCAGAGGCTCTGAAGGTGTGGCTGGTGTTAAAATTTAGAAGAGAGATGGTTGAATCCGAAGGACATTAACAAATTAAGGTGGGACAATGTGTTGCTAGAAAAGCTTCAGCTCACTTTCAGTGAAAAAAAAAGGAAGAAAAATTAAGAAAAAGCAGCCCTAACCCTGATGCTCTTGGCAGTGCTTTAGCCTGAGCACACTGTGGTGCTACCCTGCTTCTACCTGGACACCACAGGCAGCATTCTGACAGGGCAGGGGGAGTTTGTTTGAGAAACCTCAGACCTTCAATACCTTCTGTTTATTTTTAATTTCAGCCTTAATTTCTGATTTTGCTTGATGTTTGGAATAACCATAATTGTAACCTGCTTGTAATGTGCTTTGCCCTAAATTACTGATGAGGCTTTTGGCCTTTGCCAGCCAGTGTGTGTTAAAGCAAAGTGGCAAATCATGCAGCTACTCTGAAAGTCCGGAGGGGGGATGCTGTGTTCGATCTCCCAGGCTTTGCCAGTGCTAATTACCCCCTTGTGAGAGTGATAACGCTGGTGGCATCATTTGCAGCAATGGCTGCACCTCTTGCAGCAGCACAGGCTGGGCTAATGGGTGCTCGGGGCTCCCAGGGCCTGGGACACGGGACACTGGAGCCTGGGGACTGCTCCA